TTCATCATCACGTTCAGCGCACTGCGCGATGAGAAGAGAAAAAAAAACAATCATTAGGCTTTCGAGAACATTCGATTTAAATCCCCTAAAAATGCATTCAATACGAAAGCGCACTCACTTGTCGTTGAAGCCGCAAACTTCTTCAATCAGTACAGCGCGTTCCTGTCTTGTAGCATGAGTCACGCATTTTTCAACGACATTGCTCGCAAACTTGTGCTGGGAAAGAGCGAGTACTTTGCCTCTAACGCTGCTGATTAATTGCGCTTTATCTTCTGGCTTACCGTGTTCTATGAAAAATATAAGTAAATATCATTATTCATATTGACATATTCAGTCGAACCTCGCCAACTCGAACCTCAAAGGAGCAGAAAATAATTCGAGTTATTAAGTATTTCGAGTTATCAAGATTTCGAGTTATAAAAGTGTGAAAAAAATTCGACTTATAAAGGTTTTGAAATTATACATAAATAACTAAAAGTTACCGCAAAAAAACAGAGTAACAAAAAAATTTTAATAACTTTAATCATTTTAAAGAAGTAAATTCATATTTATTTATAAAGATGCATATAGAGAAGCTGATGTAAAATCTTTTTACTTTGAGTTATAAAGGTTTTATTGATCAAAATTCAAGATACAGAGGTCAATTTATAATATTAACCTCTATATCTCAAAACAATTCTTATAGAGGTAAACTAAAGTATAATTGGTACGCCGGAAAAATACTTCGAGTTAATCTCTTTTTCTTCGACTTATAGAGGGTTTTTCAAAGGAATGAAAAAAATTCAAATTATAAAGGTTTTCGAGTTAACGAGGATTCGACTGCAATAAGATTTGAGTTAAATTAATAGTAATGTAAATAGTATAGCAATGTTCATTTTCATGAATAGTAATAGCGATATGTAATAATAAGAATATTTAGAAGATAAAGATAATACAAATACCATATTACTTTTACTAATAATAATACATTTATATCGTCAATCATCAATCAATAATGTATTGAAATCTTTAAATTGGTTTCATCTAAAAAATCTTTAATTCTGATAATCACATTGATATGAAAAAAATGATATTTACCAAGCACATGTTGAATGACGTAATTGCCATATTGATCCTGAATTAGTTGGTCAGTGGAATTGTGCAACTCTTGCAGGATTCCTTGAGTTTGTTCAGGAGTGCAATGCTCGAGGATACGTTGGATCACTCGGCAGCCATACGGATGAGTACTCAGAGAGTATACCTGTCCCGCAAAAGCTCCTATCACGAACTGCAATGCTCGCGGTTCAACGCACTCGATGCATTTTTGTACAACGTGATTCCCGTTTTGATCCTTAACGCACTTCAACACATGCCCATCCAGTTCCCGTACGATTTCCTGTTGCTGTTCCGGTCCGATCGACTCGAGAGCCTTCTGTATAACTCTGCAGCCATACATTTGCAGTGCCAGTGGTAAAACATGTCCGCGAACCTGATATAAATGAAAAAAATTATAATACGGAGAAACACTCATAAGATATCTTTAATATAATTATTTGATAAAATATCAGACTAGTGCGTAATCACGGTGATCAGATGACACGCAAAATTTTTCCTCATATTTAATATAGCTAGAGTCGTGATTAAAAGTAATAATAGCAATATAGTAATAAGATTAAGTAAATCTATTGACAATCTAAGGCTGGTTACATTCTGAGAATGTATATAGAAATTTACAGAAAAAAATATTCTGCACGAAATAAATTACAGTGAGTTAGTTCCAATAAATTCTCCTGGATAAAATAATTTTTCGGTACTGGAATTTACCTTTTGGGCGAGAGTCGATTTCTGTTCCTGTGTGCCGTATTCGAAGAACTTCTGAATAACGTAATTGCCGAAGACATCTGTCATAAGGGAATATGCAGAGGAAAGGATCTCTTGAAACACGAGCTGTTTCTCGCTAGCCGAAGCTCGTTCCAATTTCTGCTGAATAAATCGCGAACCATGCTGATCTTGACTGAACTCGACTATGTGATTAGCCAAATCGCGTAACTGAAGACTCGGGAAACTGAAGAGAAAAAAACACGTATAATTTATTAGCGCATTGAGCAACTGCGCACTGGGATAAAGCTACTGATTACGATATACCACGTCAAAAACAAGAGATCATATGTAATATATTCTCGCAATATGCATCATGTTCTTTTTTCGCACACTATTTGCGCTTAGAATTTGAAGACTGCTGAAGACTCTTTCTTTATCTTCTTAAATTAACAGGTATCTTAATTAATTATAGAAATATGTTTTTCAGAGAAAACAGAGGAGATACGTGTGGATAAAATTTCATTCAGCAAGATAAAAAACAAAAAGCAAGACAAAAAGAACCTTGTCACAACAGATTTACCGGACGGATTTCTATTCTACTCACAAACGATGACATTTAAGAGAATTAATTTATTTTTATAATAGTGCAAAAAAATGTATGATTTCGTTGCCGAGCTCATAATTTAAATGTTATAACCGTAAGAAATCCCATCAATTTTACCGATTATTTCGAAAATCTTCCAATAGGCGGGATCGTCCTCCGGAATTTTTATCGCTGATATTAGCAGCACCTCCACGGCCAGGCTTGCCTACGAGATTGGGAAACAGAGAACTACTAGAGCCAAACACTCCATTGGCTGTTAGGGTGGGTACCGCGCTGGCGCGGAACTTGGCTTCAGCACCAGGAGCTGCTGATACTCGACTGGCTCCTCCGACAAGACCACCCAGAGATCCCCCTAAAGTCGGCGGTGGTGTTAATGACAGGCCCAAGGGACTCGGTGACGCGGTAACTGTACCTGCATGACAAATCAAAGCGGTTAATGACAGATTCTTTAATCAATTTGGAGTCGATTCGTCCTCGAATATCAAAAGTCGTCGTCATTTGCGGACGACCTTCGATTTCAAATATCACATATCTTTATAAATAAAAACAAAATTTTACTACAGCGATATCTATCTTAACCCTTAAATGCCACACCTCTCAAGAATCTCGTAAGTTCACTGAGGGGCCTAAAAGACCCCAGCATGAAAAATGTCTCCTTACTCATTGATTTTTTTATCTTTAGTTATGACAATTTTTTTCAATGTTGTTCAAGATCTAGAGAAGAGTATAAAATGCTAATATTGTTCAAATTTCAATTTCGACATAGCATAAAAAATTAAGTAAACTGAGTACTGCTAAGTGTACACACGGGTAGGTCAATCACTCAACTATCATCAATGAAAGCATGAGCTCCATTTTTGGCAAGAACATTTCAAAACATTTCATTCTAAAGGGTCTGGGGTCCGCTGGACCCCACTGGTCATTTAAGGATTAAATCAAATAAATAAGATTAATTATTTCGACTACTGAGAAGCTTAGAAATTCCAATGCATAAGTCTCTTATTATTAATTACTATTATAATTAATTAACAAAATTCCACTAATTATTGGACATATTCGTTAAACAAAAATCAACTCCAAATTTTCTGAAATTACATGAAGAATAAGATGAGCACTCGTATCTAGTTATGCTCGATCTGTATCTGTACCTGTGTCTGTATATTCTTTGCAGGAAGTACCTGCATTTGTAGCTAAATACACTCTGTCCCAGGTACCTGTATCTAGAGAAAATAGTACTTCTTATCTCACTGATCGTGAATGATGCGCTGTACAATTTTTGTACAGAAGCAATGTACAACAGTGTACAACTGTATAGAGGCTAAGTCTAATCCCGTGGGGGGGTATTATGTTAAAATCGCTACAAATTAAAGTGACGTAGGTACACTGTGTGATCGCTCTCTGACAAAACAGTCATCCTTGCGGGCGTTTACTCATTCCCAATTAAGACGTTTTCAAGCATTAGGATGTAACATAATTTATACGTCGGGATCAGTTTAAAGAGAAGGGTAGTGTTGTTATCATAGCTGAGTTATGTATACAAAAGGCATGTGTACAAATGGATTACAATATATTATTAAGACACAATGTACAACATAGATAATCGAGCGTCTATGGCGATTCCGAGATGCCTCATAGCCGTCGTGTACAGGCGTCTAAAACGGAACACTTGAATCCTCGAAAGTATCCTCGCTACACGTTGAACATACGGGGAAATGAGACGATAAGAAAAGCCGACAAAAAACGAGGCTATTTCAACTTTCATTATCATTTACACCTCTCCATACGTTTTCTGCGCAACGGGGACATTCGAACGTATCATTCTAGACGCCCTACACCCCGTATATCAAAGTACATTTCACACACAACAAAACGGTTCTTACCGAGGGCGCCGTAACTCTGAGGCCACTTCGCCCGGCTATATTCCAAGCTTGGACTGAAGGCTGAAGTATTTCTATCAAAGGAATCTCGTCTGCCGGTTGAAGACGCACCGAGGCCTAAACCTGCACACAAGACGGACACCGTCATCTTTACACAAGATGCTCGAGGGCAACTGGTATCGAGCATATACAAGAGACGTGACGATCAAAAGAATTGCGATAATCAACAAATCGACACAAACGCTCTACTGAGAAAGGCACGTAGCTGAAAGAGAGTTGGCTATATTCAACACGAAAGTACAAATCAATTAGGTTGTATAAAGCATGCAAACACCTTACGTTATTTTTCATTCTCTTTTTTGTACATAAAAATCCGTTACACACCACCAATATAGAGAGCCAAAAGAAATTTCTCCGGTCCCAGGAAAAAAATACTCGAGTTGATAAGCTCAATATTTCAAAGAATGTCTCTTTTTCCATAACGAGATAAAGTAAAATATACATATTTCTATATACAGTACTTTAACACAAGGGATTGACCCATGTCTTTCTACCGTACTATGCAATTACCGAACAATTACAACGTACGCAGTAATCTATTTTTTCCCCGTTTCTTTTTCTTTAATTTGATCAGTTACTAGACAGGTTTTTCATACGCGGGATCATATTTATTTTACATTTCCTTAGCACTTTAAAAATTATCGTTATTAAGTCGCTAATATGTACAAGATAACTACAGAAATTGAAGAGTTCGTTTCTAATCCATATCCTTAAAAACCGCAAATTACACATATATACATGTTATGAATTCACGGAAGGTTCCGTAAGTATCTGGTTTTCAGGAGTACAGATACACCATTCAGTTTTTCGCCTGAAAAAATCCGCGGGTTTAAGGAATCAAGAAAGCGCCGTTTTCCTGGAGAATAGAGAGAATTCGCCGAGAGCAAGGTGCCCGAAGAGAAGGAGAGGGAGAGGGGGATTGGGATGAGGAGGAAGAGGAGAATGAGGACGTGGATAAGGATGAAGAATAAAGTGGGATGGAGGAGGAGGATCGAGCACGATCGGGGGTCATATACCTGTATTCTGCAGTTGGGCAGGCGAGCCCAATGCTCCGAGCGGGGAGCCGCCGTATCCTAGAGCCGCTAAACCCGCGGCAAGTCCAGAACCTTGCTGCTGCGCCTGTTGCACCGCAACTGCCTGAGCTTGCGCGACCACCGCTGCTGCGCTGCACGCCGCCAGACCTGCACCAAAAGCCCGCAACCCACACGCGCTTTCTTAGTCGTCGTAAGTGTTGATTAGCGTATGTTACCGAGCCTTACACCGTCTATGAAAAGCCTAGCAATCTACATATCGCAATCGCGTATCCGCGAACGTGGGCATCGTATAGGAAAGCTCGGAAGAAGTCGAATTTTGAGCCAAAACATCGATTCTGCGCCGCGATCGTATCGTAGATAATTTCCGAGGAAAGATATATGCACAATCGTAAGCAATTAGTTGTATCATTCATATCTTTAAAATAATTAAAGTAAAGTAGCAAATATAAAATAATATTGATTAAACAGAAAATTTAATAAAGATATTTAATAATTTATTAAAGATATTAAAAAAAACACGTTTTCAAGTTCGTATTCCAAATGTTGAACTCTTTGTGTAGCGGTATTTATTTTTTCACGTTTTAATAACCGTTCTTTAATAACTCCAACCGAAAGTCCCCGGGTGGAGTTCCAAAAACGGCTGACCTCCGATTTCGATGAAACTTTGTGAAAAGCTTCGTTTTGGGTTAAAATAAAAGCCCTTAAAAGAAATTTTGGCGACTCCTATAATAAAGCCTTTTTTTTAAATAAAAAATATAGGGTTTCTCCCGAAAATGTCCGTGCCCCGATTTAGGTAAAACTTTGTAAATAGGTTCCTTTTAGATAAAAAAGACATATACAAAAGGATTTTTTGCAACTCCAAAGTTTAGCAACTTTTTTAACATTTTTGCAAGAGTGAGCCAATAATCAAGCATCTTAATTCAAGCAGTTAGGTATCACGCTGGGAGTTTGTTTAGTTTTATTATGCGGGGAAAGAGGCTCCGCCGTAGACGGAGCCCCTCCCCCGCCTATTTGTGTACTGTTTATTATACACATGTATTGAAGGCACACTGTGTCTTCTATTGGCATAAAAGGCATAAATGACTAATATATATGTCGAAATAGTTCACGCATACACTTTCCACGCGAGACAAGTTGTCACATGGGTTCGTGGCGTGCTTTACAAGCTCGTTTATATATATGTTACAGTTAAAACCCGAAATTCGTCAAAACCCGAATTTACTGGTAAATTCTAGTTTTAACTAACAATTAGTTAAAACTAGAATTTACCAGTAAATTCGGGTTTTGACGGATTTCGGGTTTTAACTGTAATATATATACATACTAGCTTCTGACCTTGATTATTTACATTCTGTAGTATTCGGTCTATTTGGCGTGTTTGTGCTCATATTCTATCAGTCATCTTTTGTCAATCGTTGTTGCAAGACTGATACGACTTAAAATGAAGCTTTTTTTCAATATTATGGCAAGAACCTACTGCTTCCACGCATACACTTTTCACGCGAACCGAGGTTCACCCCCACCCCCCCTGCTTTCGGGGGAAGTGCGGTAGCCCCTCCCTCGCTTACGTGTGTACTGTTTATACACACACAATTAAAGTATTATTTAAAAATTCATATTAACTTTCCACGCGTAAAAAGTTCACGCATGTACTTTGTAAGGCACACTATGTGTCTAGTTTAAAAGATGTGCAGCCCCCGCAGGGAGGCGGAACCTACTGCCTCCACGCATACACTTTTCACGCAAACCGAGGTTCATCCCCCCCCCCCCATCGCTTGCGGGGGAGAGGCTATAACATCCCGTAGAATTATAAAGGTCTTCGTATATTTTTTATCATTTTATCTTAAAAAATGGCTTTATCATAGAAGTCGCCAAAATTCCTTTTAAGGGCTTTCATTTTAACCTAAAACAAAGCTTTTCACAAAGTTTCATCAAAATCGGAAGGCGGCCGTTTTTGGAACTTTATCCAAGTCCCCTATTATGAGATAAGCTCCTAATATGCGATAGCGAGGTTTCGAACTTTCTTCTATTAAATAAACAATGTTCATCAAAATGACTATAAAATCGTCAACTACAATGTAGACAGACAGTTTTGTGAATTTTTTCTGATTTTTTTAAATACTTTAAAGTAGGGAAAAATAGCGTCAAATTTGAGAGACCCACGTACACTCCGAGGGTGCAAAAAAAAACGTACAGACGGAAGGTTAAATTTAATCACTCGAAATCCGACGATTCTTTAGATGCGACAAACTAGTAAAATTATCTTCTCTCTGCTATTGCGCACGGTACCCTTTTATTTTGTGGACGGGCATAGGCACTGTCCTCTTTTGTTACTCTATCGTCGCGCATACGCTTATCTACGACACACAGAATCGTGCCATCAATGGTATATATATATCCTCTCGTTTTTTTCTGGTTGCAATATTACATTGTGTCGAGTGTATTTTACGCGTATTTACAGGGAACGGACAAGTCAACCGTGAACAACAAAGTGATATCACTAACAGACATTAACGATAATGGCACACGTTAACGTATTATAATCGGACAACCGTCATATAATTTCGTTTCGTAGCACACAGACATGCATTACACACGTATTACACGACAAGGGAAGAAGGAATGAGGGATAGTCTTTACAAGATGTTACACACAGTATGATTTTACAAGACTTCTTACAGGTGTGTTTACAAAGAGAACGGTGGTAGTACGGCAAAACGGATTTCCGTTAGACTCACCTAGGCATTCGCCGGGTGTAGCGTTGCTATGCGATGTCGGGGTCGGTTGAGAATATAGGTTCGGTGGTGGTGCCGGTGGACCTGGTGGTGGTTGAGACGGGGCTCTGTTCACGAGAACTGGTGCAGGACTAACTAATCTCATAGGGGTCGCCGCCGAACTTAGTCCGCGCACGCCTCCCATAACGATGGAACCGTTCTGATCGTAATAAGCCGGTATCACCTGATACTGACCCTGTACCTGCGGAAAAATTAATTGCGATACATTAATAAACCATGCTAACCAAAATGTTGATCAATCATTCAAAGTCAATCAATAATAGAACTTGGAGAAACTAGAAAATAAAAATTAAGAAGATTGAATTTAAATAGCTTCTTGTAGCTCTCGTAAAAAGAAGTACGTGTCTTCAGAGTTCTATCTTCAGCCATGTAAGGTTTGAGCTCAATTTCTTTCAGAAAATATGTAATAATCTGAAATGTCCGACTGTTTATGCAAGCTCCGTGTGAATCACCAAGATTTCTGTCGCGTTCATTTGTATCGCTACCCATAAATACAATAAACGTAACTCGCTCCAAATTGAACGTCTAATTTTACAAGTCGGGAACATCACAGCCGCGCGTTCCTACCTTCTCCTCCACTTGTCACAGTAGTAAAATATCTAGAAAGACAATGTGGCAATCTCTAATTGGTACAACGAACGCAGCTCCACGTCTTATATCAAGCAAAAACAATCATCGGCCACTCACGGGAACGGGCGAGCGAGAAAATAGCTTTCACAGAATTAGAAACACATCTAATTCGCGCTAATTCGTGAGTTCTCTATCTATATCCCGCCATCAAGCCTAAATTTAGCCCCTTTATTTAACGATCATGTATCATCGCGGTACTCACAGTACCTATATACGCGTGATTCGATTTATTTCGAAAAATGCGCAACGTGTGCACCTTCGTAACCTCGGGAATTTAAAAACAAACTCCATAAAGAGATGTCCTTAAAAAAAATAGCAAAATTCCCATTTCTTGAATTTTTGAACAGTTAAAGATAAATTTAGCTACATGTTCTCCGAGAAGATGTTCCTCGGAACCAAATCACGGCAAAGAGATGTCTTCCATTTTTATTTGCAAACGCGTGATCAAGAAAATTGTCATTTCTTCTGCTTTCTTCTATTTTTTACGGATCTTGACGACTAATGTCGGAGGCTGACTCACCGTTTGTGCCAGATTGTTGGCGGTATCCTGCGCGGCGGCGGCCGCGGCCGCTGCCGAAGAAGGGGTGAGCGGTCGCCGAGGTGGCGGTGGCGCGGCCGCCTGGGGTGGTGCCTGCGGCAGCAATCCGGCCGGATAGACCCAGGGCCCGACACCATAGTACTGCGGTACGACGGGGGGTGCGCCAGCTATCAGCGCCCCTACATAAGGCTCTTGACCGCTGATAACGGTGTAAGGAGCCGTAGGAAAGTTCTGTTGCTGTTGCTGCTGCTGTTGCTGTTGCGCTTGGGACGCGGCTAGGTACTGTTGCTGCTGCTGCTGCTGTTGCTGCTGCAGAAGTTGTAGCTGCTGCGGAGTTGCGCCTTGCGGCTGACTGCGGAACAGTTGCTGAAAGAAGAAAAACAAAAAGGATTAATTATAACGCGAAGAAAGGTTTCTTCTTTTAATAACGCTAACGTTCGTAACGAAAGTAATTTGTTCTTGAAAATTAATAAAATTTTTTGCAGTAGTTTCAATTTTCGCAGATACCTCGATATTTGAGTGGCGATACGTGCAATTACGATTTCTGCTAGTTTCATATTGAGAATATAAAGTTAAATGAATGAGGTTCACAGATTATCAAGAAATAATTCCATTAAAACCGCAACGACGATATAGCGCTGTTGATTGCCTCAGAATAGAGTTCGGAAGACTTGTTACCGATACATTTGGGATAGGGAAGAATCTATTGTCGGTTGAAAGCAGAACAGACATAAGAATCGCCAATTGAAACATTCCATCTAAATGGCCAATAATTGCAGAGTATATCATATCAATTTGTTAAAATCTAAATGCGAGTTTCGAAGCTTTAGCCAAGACAAGCGTCAGTGGATCGGGAAATTAAAAAACCTTAGCAATGTATAAAGATCTTATCCCAAGAGCAAGTACTCCATCGAACATTACACAAGCGAAAAATCTTCATTGTTATTATTCAAGACATCAACGTGAAAAATGTTACGTGTTACATGTTATATATAATGTTTTCTTTTTCTGTTATTATTCAAATTGTTCGCCTTTGCACGTCTTTACATCGTATCTTCAAAGTTAGCACATCCATTAAGAAGAAAGATTAAAAAGACAATTAATAAATACTCAATATGGATGTTAAATCGAATATAAAAGATGAAACCAAAGGCAAGAACATCTTTACAAGAACCTCTTTGGTTTTTTTTTTTTTCACGACGACCTGGCGATATATCGAGCTTTCCTACTAGGGGACCGTATCAAGGAGGAACCATGTAATGTTTAAATCGCGCCAACGGCCGAGACGACCTTTCGGCTTCAAGGTTCGGTGACGGCATCGTATTATCGAGATAATCGTACAGACCAGGGTTTTCAGCACGAGTATCAAGGACGGAGGCAAGTGATGGCTGCCACCACTGCCGTCTGGAAATGGCGCAAAAGACAACTCGGCGTTAAAGCCGAAGAAGACGACTAAGATCACCTCCATTTCCATTTCCATTTCCACCTCCACCTCCACCTCCACCTCCACCTCCACTTCCTCCTCTTCTTCCTTCGCCTTCTCCTCCGGTTGGTGGTCGACCTGGGTCGACGACCCCCCGCGGACGTTCACCGACATGCGTTCCGCCTCTTCTTCTGCGTTCCCCGGACCGCGCCGGTGAGGTGAGATCGTGCCGTAGACTTTTTAATTGACCGACAAACGTGCCATGATTCGGCACGACGCGGCAAAATAGCGACAGAATTATATGTATGATGGAAATGCCAAAAGTATAACGCAAAAAGAGATAATTCCACTCTCGTCCAATAAACGTACGTATTAAAAAAATGAGGCGTAAAAAAAATGAGGCTTTTCTCTTATTGGCCGCGTTCAGGCAACACGACTGTTGAGTGAGCGCTCATTATGATTGGTTCTTACACTTAGATCCGGAGAAGAACCAAAGGTAAAAACCAATCATATTAAAGAATCGCTGACCACTCACTCAACAGTTGTGTTTCCTGAATGCGGCCATTTACTTTTTCGCGCGATTTCCGATCGAAATAAACGCGAGCGTTTTTATATATAAACGTGACATTCTAATATCTCTTCCGCGTAAATTAAAATCTGTAAATCTTTTTCTTCTTTTACCGAAGAAAATGAAGATAAAAGAATATCGCGGCTCCACAGCTGAGACTATTAAACTTTAATAGAAATGATTGGCGAATGAATTTTTTTTTCCTTGATGTTATCGGTCACCCACCATATTACGATACGAGTTACAGGGCGATCGATAAATTTAATAACATTATCCAAGCCCGAGTTCCTGCAACCTTCAAAGTTACGAGAGCTCGGAAATAAATAGAAACATCGACCGAACGGCTGATTTCTTGCACGAAGCGTGGAAAACTTAAACCATTCACGACACGCTCCAACCCTAAGAGGCAACGATGCGTTTCGGGTATTAACCTCTTCCGGAAACGGCTCGAGCTTGACTCAAGGCCATAGTTACACTTGACCGTTGCTCCTTGCACGAGAGAAGTTTATTTTCCGCTGGACATCACATAATGATTAATAGCTGAGTTTCTTCAATTTATTAACATGTCCCACCGTTCTAAAAATAATCTGAACATTTATATGTATATCTTGGAGCAATCGCTAAATTACTTCATAATTATAGTTCAGTAATCAGTAGCGTATCTAACGTATAGCTTATTTATTTTACACGAAACTTGTTTTTATTTGTATTCATGTAAGAGAAAGAAGAAAAAGATAAGTCGCAGATAGCACGGTTCTTCTATCAGTTCTACACCGATGCATTTTAATGCAATAACAAAAATTTCATTCCAAACAAAAAAGTAGTATAATAAAGAACATTACCATTGCAAGGTGCGTACGTGTGAAATACGAGCAGCTCATTAAGGTCAAATATCGTGTTCAAGAGATTTTTTTCCCGAACGTTGAACCGTTAGTCAAAGAGGCCTTATGACATTGATCAAGACTCGAACTGATACAGGACGCCGAAGGGAACAGTCTCATTAAAACGCTAATATAGTATATCCCATTCCGTAGTGAGTCTGTGTTTATCTTACACCTCTAATTTGTTCAATAAAATCATTACCTTATCGTCGACCGAACACACGGCTAGCTCGAGATAACTAAATCGTTATTTCTTCTTCGCATCGTTGCGCATATCTGATTATAGCAATTACTATTCGTTTGTTGCAATTTGTCGCCGAGCATCATATTTATGCCGAGCTCTTCGAAACTCCAGTCTTACCGATTATCTTTTTTTATTAGCGTATCATTTAATGTCTTACTTTTGAGAAAAGACTTTGAAAATACTGCGGGATCACTCAGCGTCAAGTAAAACCTCAAAGTAGTCTTGTACGAATCATTATAGCCATCGTTGCTCTCGAGAATAAAAGAACCGAAACAAACGGAAAATTACGGTGATTTCGCGTAAAAATGGCAGTGTCAAACAGAAGAAAAAAAGAAAGAGAAATTTGATAAAGCACGTCATATCAGGAAGAGACAGTCGCTCTCGAACGGGGAGGCAAAAAATGGCGCGGTACATTGTGGGTGAGAAAGGGGGTGAGTTACACTCCTGGAAATGTGAGTCATTGTTAAATATGTAAGACTTCCACCGGCAGCTTGCAAATCGTCGGCCGATGATATGGAGTCTGATTTCCTGGCTGTTAAAAATATCCGCCGCGATTACACCGTCGCGCTTTTCGAGAACACTTCGACTGAAATAAACGCTGTACTCCTGATTAGAACCATACGATATGTTACGAAAGTTCACCTGAAGCCCTCAAGAATTGAAAGTATTATAAAAATATTTTATCACACCTAGAATAAAGTCTCACACCAAATTTCTTCAGAGACGTGTATAAAGACAAGAAGTGCTTAGATTGAAGAATTCAATTCATGCCAGTATGGTATAAAGTTCGAGAATATAGCACATTCGATGATTATTGTATATAAGACTAAAAAAATGGTGACAGATCTTTGATAAGAAAAGAAACGTTGAATAAAATCTTTTGTTTACATTAAAAAATTAAAGAATAAACTGTGTAATTGAAATGTTAAATCAATAAATAAGGCAATAGAAATATTAAGATTTATTGATTTTTGTGTGAATAAAAAATATCTCTATTTTTATACAAGAGTTATACACGTGAGTTTATGCTTGTAATATACGTTTATTACATTATTCCACGTCTTTGAATAATTTAAGATATCGTAATTAAAAAACATATATTGTCTATTGCGAATAACAAATCAAACGCTTGTCACTGCAAAGCTTTTATCGAGTAACAATACATAAAAAAGTGTACATCATTAATTTTAATAGAGAAGTTGCCGCGAGAAACTTTCTAAGTGAAAGAATCAAAAAGCATACCTAACTGATTACGTAATCAGAAAGGGAAATATATATAAATATAAATTTTCTTCTTATCAAGGTATTATTGTCCCGCGGTAAATGAATAGAGTGCCAACTTTTCTCCTATACTCATCAGTATCCGGATAGACTTTCACTGATCTGCGATAGCCTACTTATTATCTTTGTTTAATTACTATTTGCACTCTCTTTCAGCTAGCACAAAGAATCGTATTATATCTAGTAGCACGCGTCGGCGCGTTTCTGCGATTTTTTTATTGTGTGGCATTGTATGGCACAATCGTGCACTTTCTTTTGTCGATCAAAATGCTATATTACAGAACATTTTTAAGCCTCAAAACTAAGGCAAAAATCTATTTTAAAATAATAAATTTTCAATCGATGTTTTTAATCCTGTCTTATCATTAATTCCTCTTTTATTATTTTTTTTATTTGCACAGAATGAGCAATACAACTAATTGATTTGAATAAGCCGCTGTTTTGAATGTATGCATTTTTGTTAGCAGCGCTTTGGCAGTTTTAGAGAGCACACGTGGAAAATTAATTATGGAACGCTACCCGGTGTAACAGCGCGTATATGCATTGTAAAAACGTTTTATCAAAATAATTCGTCAACGACTGTGACTTTACGCAAGTTACGTCAAGATTTCGGAATAATGTGCCAAATATCAATACAGTTCGTTAATTAGTGGCAAAATGTGAACAAGTCAGTGATGATGTCAGCGATAGTGATGCATGGTGTCTGGTCGATAGTGCCCCACCTAGCTGTTTGCACACCAAAAAACTTTGAAAGAGTTCGTGAAAATATTGCCGAAAACCCCGAGACCTCTACCAGACGTCGTGCCCAGGAATTGGGCATTATTTTTACACATTATCTTAAAAAATGATTTACAATTGCGTCCATACTTGTCAAACAGTCAAAGTCCAAATGGACATTTTGAAGAAAATGTTCCCGGGGTGGTTAATTTCCTGTCTTGGCGATATCATCTGGCCGCCGAGATCGCCTGACTTAACAGCACTGGACTTTTTTTATGGGAATAACTTAAAGATAATGTATATGCCAATGAACTAAGCACGATTGAGTAGCTAAAGGACACTATTCGAGAAACTATTATAAATATACCTCCTCCCGAGATCTACCAAAATGTGATAAAAAATGTGATCAAGAGAGCTCGAGTTTGTGCGACATTAAAAGGCGCACATCTGTAAGACATTATATATTCCACGCGTAATTTTCAAGTTTTAACAGACGATTTAGATTAAAAAATCTGTTGCTCTTTATTTCATCTAAAAGTTAATAAAAACACAAATCAGTTATGTATATTGCCCATCCTCTATAATTGCTTGTTACCAAACGCAAACAATTTTTATTTTCTCGCAAAGGCGTCAGGCGCGAGTCGGCAGGTTCAGCGAAAGGCTTTTGATTTACCGATTCATAAAAAAGCGTAGCGTAACGAATGATATAAGAACAATTAGGTAAGAGATATTCCGTTGCTGAATTCCTCGCGAGTCATCCGCGGAAACGAGTTTGAGAGTGACGATGGTTCGACGACCTTCCTTCTCTCTGCGTGCCACCGTCGTTTGCCTTTCATAACCGGTGCGTTTTAATATTTATCGTCGGTTCATCTCGCGGCGAGTGCATATTTCGAAGAATGTCAAATATTTCGATTCCGATCGGCTATCGATTTGTCCATCTCTCGTCCTACGATCTTTTATCATTATAAAAGAAACACATTCGTGTGCCGCAATTTCGCGATGCATGCTTCCCATGGCACTTGTCATTAAACATGGATTTATGAACAGAAATAAGTTCTCCAGAACAGACGAAAAGTATCGACGTTAACGCCAATGTCACTCGTGATAATTTTCTCTTTTTTTTTTACTATAACATGTTACTAACACTTCGGTGCGCTAATAGTTATTTGTGTAACAAGTGAGATAAGATGAAAATTCCCGGGTGTGGAGTTTACGCACGAGCCGAAGGCGAGTGCGGTAACCGCACCCGGGAATTTTCATCTTTACACACGGCTTACACTCCCTATTTTATGTTGCAAGTGCCTGGAAAGTGGTCTATCACGCACGCGTAGCGTGCGTAATGGGGCACTTTCCATGCACGTGTTGCATAATAAATATTTATCGCGTAACCTACTATGTTTCATTCGGAGAATCATTCTACGCTCTATATAATAAAGCATCGCAGCTCAGAGATCGGGTCATCAACACTGTGTGCATCCAATCT